GTCCCAGCAACGAGAGAAAAGTAACTAAGATAATTATATTATATTATTTATTTATTTTTGTATTTAGGACAGGGTCTACAGGATCTCACTACGTAGATGGGACTCGTAGCGATCCTGCGGAGCTGCGATCACCGCTCAGTCTCATTCATTGGCTCAGCGAGCCCTGGGGGTGGGGCCAGCACGCACGCGGGGGCTCGAACCCGGGTCCCCGCCCCTGCCTGAGCAGGTGCTTTAGTCTGCTGAGCTATCTGGCCAGGCCTCAAACAGCTTTTAAGTCTTGGGAAGCTTTGCCACGCAGGATGTGGAATCTGATCTAACCGCGCAGCAGTAGCCCCAGCCCAGGCTCCGTGCTCAGGTGAGAAAGACCAGGGAGTCCCTCGCGATTCAGGGGCTCAAGCAGAGCAGCCTGGCTCTGCAGATGCGATCGCCCACATCCGGCATGCCTGCCCTTACCTCGCTCGTTCTCTGCCCGTCCCTTCCCGCGAGGGCGCCCTAAAGGCTATCCCTGGGGGGGACTTCCTGTCAGCGGTGCGCTGCTCTGCAAGGCTTTCTGCCCTTCACACGCTCCCTTCCGGGGCCCGCAAGGAGGCCGTGAGCCCCCGAAGACCAGACCATGTCTCTTCTGTACGTCAGAGCTCCTCTAGGGAATCCCCGAAGAGGCGGGAATGACTTGAAGGAGAAGAACTTAGATCTGGGTGTCGGACTGAGGCCTGACTGGCTCCTCTGTGAGCACGAAGAAGGAGAAAGCAACCCTCGGAGAAGAAGGCGCTGCAGGTTCCAGGAGAAGCTTAATGCGGCTGAGTTCCGTATTTACCTGGGCGTGTACTAGCGGGCCGGAAGGCATATGCGTCTTGTGTTATTGTAAGTGCTTCTGTCCGTGTCTGAGTGAGAGGAGCAGGCCAAGCCAGACACTTGGGGCTCCTCTGGCTCCCAGAGCTGAGAGCCTGGCTGCTGTGTGCTGAGCTGGCTCTGGCTGTCCCTCCTCTTCCTTCGCTCCCAGTCATGGCAACAGACCAACAGGATTAGGTCCCCACAAGCGCACCTGGGATGGGAAAAGCTCGGAGAAGTGGGCAGGTGACAAGGTGACACCTGGGGAAGGGATCTGGGACCAGCTAGGCTGCTCTTCCTACATCTGAGAAAATAGGGAATGCATTTGCACAGTGACCTGTAGTTTAGAAAGACTTCCCTGTACATCCTTGGCTCACGTTGATCACGTTCAGACACTCACCCAGAACTTAGAAAAGCGATGTGGGCTGTGGCGACTCGTGCCGTGCCTGTGCCCAGTGTACCCTGCGCAGGTTCGCCCGACTCCTCTGCATAGGCCCTGTGTCTGCCCAGCTGGGCGGTGATGTGCCCTGCTCACCACCCATAGCCGTGGTGTACCTCCCAGTCTCATTCCTAGAAAGGAGAAGGTAGGTCCTTGGGATTCTCTCCATCCTCGTTCTCCGGCTTTCCAGAGAGCTCGGGTCTTCTATATGGGTTTTGGGATTTGACATGAGCCTACAGCAGCTGAAAAGGAGAGAGGCCTTCTCCACCATCACATACCATCAGAGGCCGTGTGGGGCCACCAACCTTCATGTGGGACTGGAACTCATGCCAAGAGGCTGCCAGCGTATCAGGCTAAGGCTCAGGCTGTGTTTAACCGCACAGGAGAAGCTCATAGGTTATGTGTTGAACGTGCCAGGCTTGGAGGAGAGGGACACAGTTGGGTTGTCAGCCGCTGGGGAGGAGCAGGAAATGGAGAGCGACTGGTGGGCGCAGGGCTCTTGCTGGGGTGCTGAAAGGTTCTGGAGCCCACGGGCAGTGAGGTCTGTACAGCCTGTGACTGTAACAAAGACCACTTGGTTGTGTGCTTTCAGTCAGTGCTTGCTTTATTTTCAGTGTGATTCTTTTGGGGATGATTTCTCACCCAGGTCTTAATTTTAAATATTTCAAAGTGGATAAGGGACCTAACATATATTATTGCAATTGTTGGGCCCAGTGGAAATACAGTAATTAAACAAATCCTCTTAGATCAGCTATACCAAACAGGGCTTTGTCTGCTTTTGCCATTTGGAAATAGTGTTGTATAATGTGTTTCTGAACAGTGTGTCTAATTCAACAGGAAAAAAATGCCCTTTCTTTCAAGTTTCAAATCACTGCCCTAGTGACAAACCATATAGATTGATAGCAGCCCACTTTTTGGAAGGAGCTTTGTAGTGTTTTAATTTTTACAATTTATTGTTGAGAGGAAATCACAAAGACCCCAGCCCTGGGCACGCGGGGCATCGCCGTTACATTTTTCATTCACTGATATTTTTACCTGCTGAGGTCTAAGAGCTGTCTTTGACACATGAAAACCACAGTGCACAAAGAGAGGAAAAGCCCTGCTGCGAGGAGCTGGCGGCGTGGCCGCACGTAGCACGTGGGAGCACTCTGTCAGGTGCGTGGTCCCAAGATGCCTCCTAGCACTGTGGGGCAGAATCAGACATGGAGGGGAGGCAGCCAGTGGGGGCGAGGGGCATCCTCCGGGCCAAAGCCACCCTTAGGTGACCACTCAGGACAGGAGGGGCAGCTGTGCAAATAGGCCCTAGAAGAACAGACAGCCCGAGGCTGGGGAGACAGGAAGGGACTGGGCAACCACGTGAGTCAGAGGTTGGGGTGGGGCAGGAAGGAGCATAAGTTTGTTTGGTCTGACAGTGGGTCACTGTGGGGACTTGGGGTTTCACTAGCTTTTTCTTTTTTTCGTACTAGAGACTGAACCCAGAGAGTGCTCTCTATCTCCAGCCCTTATTTGATGTGGAGACAGGATCTTTAAGTTGCCCAGGCTGGCCTTGAACTTGTAATCCTCCTATCTCAGCCTCCTGAGTTGCTCATTGGGGCGACAGGCATGCAATACTGCATGGCTTTTGTAGCTTTGGGCAGACCCATCACCCACCTCTGGGTGCTTCAGCAGGGCACCCTGGCCTCCTGGCTGAGGCAGACCGAGCAGGTCCCACGGGCCGGGAGGACACAGCACCAAACCCTTCCACTCGACTCTGCTGGTGAAATAATTTCAGCAAGAAAGCATCGACTCCTAATTCTCACTGATGAAGACAGCGTCCTGAAATAACCGTTTGACGGCCTGGCTTCAGGTCTCTATTTAGACTGTTTCTCTCCCTTTGCTGAATGTGAATTCAGGATGATGCATTTTTATTACTCATTCAACAATTGGTGGCCGGATGCGGTGCTACTCACTAAATACTCAACAGTAAGGGGACCTGGGAGCAGCCCTGGCTTTGCTGTCTGCAGCAATGGAAGTCACCAGCAGACAAGTGCTGACGAGTCTCAACTCCGTAAAGCGTGAGGCTGGAGCCGCCTGGACCTGCACATCTGGGTATCCAGAAGCTTTTCACCCAAATAACTGGAGGAGTAACTCTATGCTCCGGGCGGGTCAGAGGTGCTCTGTCTCGGCAGCAGTCCCAGCAGGTGGCCTGGCGAGGAGCAGGCCAGTTCTCAGTGAGCCGCTAGCTGTGGTGGTTAATGAGTTTCTGATTTTGTGCAGTCAGGCCTGGGGGCCTTCTCTGTGACTGAGTATTTCTGTTTTCTACTTACGTCCAAGTGATGTCACACCAAGGATGAGCAGGGTTGGAGTGTGCAGGGCAGGTACAAGATTATGCACGGGGCAAGAGAGAGTGTGAGTGTGTCCTCCCAGGCCGGCCCTGGGAGTGACCTCAGGCTCCTGTCGGACAGCCTGAGCATCTGCGTAGCTCTCTGGATGGGCCTGCAAAAGAGACTTCAGTCGCTGTCTGTCTGCTGTCTGGATAGGACCTGGGACTAAGCTTACACCCGGGGTGCCTGATTTCTTTGGAAACAACTGGGGCCAACATCGAGACTAGAACTTCCAACTTTTAGAGGCAAGATGTATACAGGAATGTCTTTCTTCTCTCCGCTTCCTTGGGAGACATCTTTGGCTTCATTCCACCCCTTTATTTGTGGAACAAATTCTCTTCCCACTTATGCATCTGTTTTGCTCTAGTCTGGGAAATGGAGCCGTAGAGAATCCACTCTAATCCCCTGCTGGTGAATCATTTCCAAAAGCCATAGCCGGGGTGCTGCGGCAGCGCCTCCCACGGGGAGCGCTGAGGGGGCAGCGACATTGTGCCCCATTCCTTACCTCAGCCAGAGCTGCGGTGCAGAAGCAGGAATAACGCAGTTGGCTTCTGCGGCAGTTCACGGGGTGCCCGGGAGTCAGCAGCAAGAGGTGCTCTGTTCTAAGGCAAACCTCTTCCTCCCACCTTACAGACCCACCCTCTCCTCACACAGCCTCGGGCTCTCTTTTTTCCTTCCTTCCTTCCTTCCCTCTCCCAGCTTCCCCAGCCTCAATATGGAATGTTCTCAGGTTACTGGGGTGGGGTTAGGACTCAGAGTGAAGGGAGGCGGAATGTGGACCGGTAACAGTCTGCATTTTGAAGATGGCCCTACAGGTGTTTGAATGGCCAGAGGACAGACAGGAGGAGGTGGGGAGACACTTGCAGCCCAGCGGTGGGGACCATCTCCTGGCCACCACTGTCTCCTGGGATTCAGTGGCTGTTTACTGAGGGTGTTGTTTACCCCTTCATCACTGCAGAATTCTTTTTTTGAAAGCGTGTTTGGTTGTTGCAGTGTCTCACTATGAAGCTTGGACTCGTGGTGATCCTACTGATTTCAGCCTCCCCGGCGCTGGGATTACAAGTATGCGCCACCACACCTGGACTCTGGCTGGCTTAGCCCACCCTCAGGGAGGGGCTGGCATGGCATGTAGTGCCCGGGATCGAACTGCGGTCCCTGCTCTTGCCTAAGCTTGCCTAGGCAGGTGCTTTACTCCGCTAAGCTATTTGGCTGGCCCTACGCAGGTGCTTTAGTCTGTTGAACTATCTCTCCAGCCCATCCCTGTGGAAGGCTTACAGTTTCCTGTTCTACCTGTCACTTGGGGGGTCTGGGAAGGAAGCCAGAGAAATAAGATCCTGGGTCCTAGAGGGACTAGGCTCGGGTGAGAGCGGTAGATAGCAACGAAGTAAGAACCTTACAAGCAATGACAAATCCCAAGCTGAATGACAGGACAGGTGACAGGGTAGCTATGCGGGTGGGGAAGCAGGGATGCTCTCAGGGTAGCTCTAGCTGCTCTGTCAGCGGAATCCCGTTTCAGCGCCTTCTCAAGCAGAAGCTGGCTTCTCACACAGGTGACGGTCTCATCGTGTCCCCTGTGTGGACAGCGGCAGCCATCCATACTGTGCTGGTCTGGGGACATGCAGTTGTCGTGTCCTGAGGCTGGGTGTCCTAGGGCTTCAGAGTTCTTCCCCTTGGGCTGGGGGCAGGGGCAGTGGGAAGGGCTCATCCCAGCCTGGCTGTGACACCTGTCACCTCCCTCATGTTCTCTCGGCAAGGACGCGGCCACCGGAAGAATCGCCTTGCCACCTCCATCAGGAGCAGCATGCATGTTGGGGGACAGGTAGCCACCTTGTCTGGGACACTCTGGGGACATCTTATTGACAAGCCATGTGGAGAAGGGAGAGGACAACCCCTGAGGGGGAAGCCCTGCTAACACTGCAGCTCCCAAGGAGTCAACCTCGCGGGTGAGTTGGAAAGCACCAGTGGCCGGCATGGCCCAGTGAGGGTGCCTCACACATGCAGCAGGGGGTGGGGGCGGCTTCTGCTAAGGGTGTCGAGGGGCGAGGGGCCGGCAGAGGCTTTCACCTAGGCAGGGAAGGCTTTGATGGCTCAGAAGCAGTCGAGGCGCCGGAGGTGCAGGAAGTGCAGGAGGCGCTGGAGGTGCGGGAGGCGCGGGAGGTGCATTGCAATGCCACTTCAGTGGTCCAAGCAAAAGACACTGTGGCTGAGCCTGATCCTATTTCCTCGTATTGTTCTGCACAGAGCTGGCTAGGACTTGGCCTTAAGCCATGTGTATTGGTCCAGCTGAGGTGCTGGTGATAGTCTCTGAAGGTGGTGTGTGTGTTTCCCTGGTAACCTACACCTGCTGCTCTCTAATGTGAGCCAGGTCGAGACAGGACGAAGAACCAATGCTCCGCGATGCCAGCTGGGATCGAGCCTGGAGATAGAGGCCGTGACTTCCTGGGGCTTGAAAGACTACATCGGAGCTGAAGCACCAGACCCCAAAACATTAGATGCTGTCTCTATGGCATAATAGTATAATGCAGATTACGCTCTCTGCATGTCCTCTCTGCATATGGCAGGGGTAAATGTAGGCCACCCACCTAGCTTAGCTCACGGTACTCACCTGCTTCCCACAATTCTCGGTCACTCACTCCCCCACTGAATAAAAACTGGGTGAGGCCCTGGGTCGCTCTCTCGGTTCCAGAAAGCCATCTTTGTGGCTGGACTTAGAGCCGCCCGACTCCGCAAAGATTGAAAATATAATTTAGGGTCTTTATTTTCGCCATGGGTTGCATTGAAAGTGGTAGATTGGAATTAACTTGATGGGATTCCAATAACGTAACTTTGGGATTATAAATATTGGCTTCTTGGGCTGAGACGAGGACCTGGAAGTGACTCCTCCACCTTGGAGTGTCCTGGACGCGGTTGGCTAGGACAAAGTCTGAAGCACTGAGTGCGGGCGCGTGAGGGGCACCAGCAGGTGTTCAGGAAGTGCAGCAGGGCCGGCTTCCTGCCTGTGCGGTGGGGGTGGGGTGGGTGTCTATCCTCCCTGCACCTGGGCCCACTGCAAGTGCTGAGTGTGGGAGAGAAGCGGGGGTGATGGTGCATGACTGGGGTCAGAATCAGGTGGGCGTGGCTGTCTCCGCAGGGCCACCAGTCCTGGGGCGCCACATCCCCACGACGATCTTGCTGTGGGGCTTGGGTGTAAACGCACCAGTGATGATTTTTGATAGGTTCTGGCCCTAGTATAAATTGCTGAATCGTTATGGTGGTCACCTAATATGGCTGAAGCCCTTAAAACAAAAGCCCATCTTCGCCAGGACCACCTCCTGCTTCTTCTCCAACTCAGCCCAGGGTGCAGTTTCCTTTCACCCTTCCCGCTGCCTCAGGGAAGACCCCAATCAGCTCCCTCAGTATATCTAAACATCCCCCTCAAACTGCACCCCTGCCAAAAGGCCATAAAAGCCTCAGCCTCCCTTTGTTCCAGTCCACAGAATTCCTCATCTTTCCCAGATTCTGTGTGTTTTCAAAGATAATAAAGCCCCCTTCCCTTCTTCCTTCTGCCTGTTTCTCTGCTGCTCCGGCCGCCTGAAAAGACATCAGTTTCATTGCGCTCGCTGTCTCACTGAGTGT